AATTGAAAACATTATTCATCTATTTTTGTTTTGAAAATATTACTATATAAAATAAAAATTTAAATATCTCTTCACTAATAATTTTTCTTTTTAAAATTGAGTGTCCCGGTGACTGGTCAAAACTACCGTTTCAGTAAGCGATCCTTATCTCCATTCCATATATACATCCCCCTCTTTCTCTTCTTTGCTCTCCTTTCTTTAATCAAAGGAGAGGCTCCATCTCCACCATCTTTTATCAGCCCTCTTATCACTTCAAAAACAAGTTTGTAATTCTTATATTTTGTATGAGCTTTTGAATTTTTTCTTCAATTCCAATGGCATCTACGAGGAAAGACGTTGATAAGATCAAAGGCCCATGGAGTCCAGAAGAAGACGAGGCTTTGCTGCGGCTGGTTCAGATGCACGGCCCCAGAAACTGGTCTTTAATAAGCAAATCAATACCGGGTCGAACTGGGAAGTCCTGCAGGCTCCGATGGTGCAACCAGCTTTCCCCCGAGGTTGAACACCGACCCTTCACTCCTGAAGAATATGAAACCATAATCCGAGCTCATGCTCGATTGGGCAACAAATGGGCCACCATCGCACGACTCCTCAATGGCCGTACTGATAACGCCATTAAGAATCACTGGAACTCGATGCTCAAGCGAAAATGCTATTACGTGACCAGATATTTGCGCAATGGTTCGTTGCATCTGCTTAAAAGATCGGCCAGTCTTGATGTTGGTAATAATATATCGGGTCTTTACTTGAACCACGATAGTCCTTCGGGATCCGATGTGAGTGACTCAAGTTTACCAGCTGCGTCATCGGTTTACACACCGTTAGCAAGAACCGGTTCTTGGGCCACTTCTAGTCAGCATTTGGAAACGGCATCATCCTCAACTAATCCACCTACTCTACTCACCCTCTCGCTGCCCGGATCCATTCCTCGTGAGATCTCAGATCCCAGTCCCAGATCCAACCTTGTTCCTAGCCCCACAGAGGCTCCGGTACCAATACCAGCTGCTCCAGCTGTTGGTTCGGGTCCAAGTGTTCAGTCGAAGCAAATTGAGATGCAAAACGGAACGTTTCGTATGGAGCGGCAGTATTTTAGCGCTGAGTTTTTGGCAGTTATGCAAGAGATGATAAGAACAGAAGTGAGAAACTATACGTCTGGGATTGAACAAAATGGTCTTTCTTTTGCAAACTGAAGCAATCAGAAATGCTGTTGCTAAGCGTATTGGCATTAGCAAGCTCGAGTAGACGACAAGAAGAATCCTCAGAAGAATAAAAATAAAAACGTCTTCTTTTTCCTTCAGTTCTTTTGTTTTAGTCCCTTTCAATGTCGGTTTAGTTGTTTCTGTCGTAGCGTAAAGAGAAGACTGTTAGGGGAAAAAAACCTTCAAAAAGTTGAATTTCGAAAAAAAAATATAGAAAATATCCTCTAAATTTCCAAAACAACTGCTTTTGCTGATATTATATTTCCCGTTCCTCAATCAAAGATACTAAAATTTTTGAAAAAGTATGCAAAAGTTAATAATCGGTGGACGGTTAGGACACACCACAAACCATTTTTGTATGATGTATGGTGTTTTGTCATAAAGTGAAACTGAAAATGAATTTTAGTGGTGTGTTTCTGTTTGGCAGTTAGCCTAAGCGGTGCTTTTAAGATTTTAGGCATGTGACAAAATCATATTGCAGCATAAAATTATTAAAAAAAAAACTTAGAGGCATCTCTAGTAGATATTTCCACTTTATTTGTGTCATAATCGTTGCCCATGGCAGGGAAACCTATGGTTGGGGTCCTCCCTGTTACCATTTCCAAGATAATACTCTTTTCTTCACTTCACTTGGACTTTAAGTCAAACTGCTGCTATTTCGATTCCGAGTTTCTCTTTGCATCTCAATTTTACTAAAATGAAGATGTACTTGATTGACCATACATTGAATCTACTGCTTCATAAGTCTCCAAGAACGATGTTTCTTCAGGATTTTCAATAGCACTTTACTTGCGCCTGAATCCCATAAAAGTATGTAAGTTGCAAGTACATGCTAAGATTAATAATAGCAAATAAATTACCAACAATCAGTTAATTTAATGGATGAAGTATTAAATTTCTTAAGCAAGATCGGACGTTCTTTCTGCTCAATAACAGTTGATTGAGATAACATTTGTTAAATGTGATTCCATAAAATATATATCTGAAGTTATAGTTAATAATGTACAACTTTGACCATTGAAGAATGGTCAATAATTCTCAAGTTAAAACAAATCATTTACGGATTTTGACTATTGTAGAATGGTCAAGCGGCTACCTATAAGTTGATGCTTTTTTCTTTTCCAACAGTAAGCAGTTGATCATTTACGACTTTGACCATTGAAGAATATAACTCAAATGCTTCCTTACTCATTGTTTTTCCACAAGGTGAAGCAGAATCTGAACTACTTCACCCATGGTTGGTCTTGCATCTTTGTCTTCCTGCACACATTGGAGTGCCACTTTAACCAAGACTGACATTTCAGCCTCGTTGAATTTCCCCTCCAATGTTGGGTCTACAATCATTCCCATCCATGTTTCTGTTATATCAGTCAGCAGTCCTTGGCAATTGAGAGCTGTTTGCGAAGTCGTGAGATTTGCAGTATTCTAATAAATTGAGTTTGGGGACAAGAACATCTGGGTGCATTTACTCATAGGCGGCTTAGGAAATGTATTCAAGCTGTCCAGTTCCTGGGTTTATATCAAATCAAATTAGTATAACAAACTGGCCACTTCCACTGTCTTGGCGGTATTTGAATAAAAAAACAGAATTTAATTTAAAATAGTTGTTGCTTGTAATTTAAAGAAGAATAAATAATTCATTGCAAACCTAAATTATTGAGGTCAGATCCTGATCCTCAACGCATCAAAGTCTAATTCGAGGAAAACTTCTTCATTCTCCAACAAATTGTATTGATTTCACGAAGTTCAAAAGTTTACGATTAATAAATTAATATCTTATTGCTGTGCTACTCTTGAAAAATATAATATATATATAATTTAAACCTGGGAAATTATATTTTTCCTTTACAAATATCACTGCATGTATTTAACGAAGAAGACTATCTGGATTAAAATTTATAATTTTTTATTTATTATTTGACAATAGACGTTAAATACTCTATGTTCCATTCACATCTTCCATGTAACCTCTGGTTCCTCTTAACTTTGATATTTTTGAATTCCTGATATCAGTTGAACTAAATTTGCCCAACTCATTCAGTTCTGCAATTCTGCTATTGTTGGCGGTGGATCTTCCAACTTCCCATCCCAAAAGGCAGGGGCTTGGCCAATAAATACTGGAAACCTCAGGACCTTTATATGATAGAATAAGAACGTTATCAGAATCGAAGTAAAGATTAAAATCAAACCCGAAGACTAATTGTTTCGGCTTCTTGACGAGACAAGCTTGGCGTGCGTTTTGAGTTGTTGGAGCGGAGGCGAAGTATCTGTGGGTGAATCAAAGCTTTGCCAAAGTGTTGTGCCCTTCGAATCATGCAGGATCAGATTGCCGGTGTTTTAAATGTGCAGGTGACATATAAAACACTGTATCGGTGGTCCAAACACTGGTACGTCCACCATAGGGAAAAATAAGATTACCGTGTTTGGTTAACGAAAGCTTCGAGTGTCTACCATTGATGGGGTAATCACTGTTTGCCATCCAGACGACGGTGCAATTGTCTCTGCAACATGGTTTGTTCGGCGAAATGGAAAAGAAGTAAGCGTTGGGGCCAACGGGGTGAAACCCGACGCTGAAATTTCCATCTGGTGAATTTAAAACATCTCCTTCGGTATCCACTGTCAATGAATTGATGACCCTTCAAGTAGATGATCATTGGAGGAAGAAGAAAATGAGTAGAGTCGAATCAATGATACTAAGAGTAAGATAATTGGCCTGGCCATGAGTTATGTGAGGAAAAAACCAAGACAGCGAATGGGAAGGTCCAATGAAAACTTAATCTGAGATTCATCTGAGTAACTCAGAATAGATAAGATGTGAATGAATAAACTTCTCACTGGATGGAGACACGAGGAAAATTAAGAAGAAGAAAAATTGTAATTAGATAAATCCAGCAGCTTTTTAGTTATAAAACACATGCAATGTAAAGCCATGGAGAGAATAAAGATTGGTTGATAGTCATGAAAATCCGAGAACAAAGATTAACGGAATATTGCAGTACTTCACACATGATCAATGGGTGGACGGCGACAGGAGGGTTACTGTTCACGATGACGATGATAGACAAAGATGACCAGCGACAATTGGTAATAGGATTGAAATAAGAGATTTTAACTTTTTAGAGTTCTTTTTATAATTTCAATACAAAATTTGGGGGTGGTTTATAAGGAAATTAAGTTTTTTAATTTTTTTCTTTTAAAAAATGATATTTTTATTTATAAAAAATCTAAAATTAAAAAAATATAGTAATAGATACTTAAAAATATAACTGATAAATTGTTAAACACCTATTTTTAATAAAAAAAAAATTCTTTAGACAATAAAATATTTTTCGAGACATGATTTGAACACTTATTTTTTATTAAGCCTTTAAAAAATCACTCTTTAGTTTAGGTAATTCTTATAACCAAGTTGCTAAACTTATATATCTATAAACCAAAGGGTTTCTAAAGCTTTTGGGACTATTTTACCAAAGCCCTTTTCCAATCTGAACATTAGTTACTCCCCATCACACACACACAACAATATTAAATTCTCTATTCCTAAACATAAATCCCTATTTAAAAATATTCTATAAATAAATAAATACAAAGGCTGAAAAGAAAGGAGCTGCGTTGAGAATATAAGATGGGGTCCAACCCCAATTTGTGGGCGTAGTGCAGTTGGTAAGGCCGCGTGGAATGTGGGATTAGACTATGTTTTGCTCAATGTACTCAGAAGCTGGAATCCAAAAGGGAAATACTAGCCAACCAACAACGACAAGCACAAAGCTCCTGACGGAGCTTATCCTACAAATATATAGATACAATCTGTTCCTAGAAAGGCAAATTCAGTGACAGACAAGCCCCTCTCATGTTTCGGTAACCTTTTTTCTGAAGCCTAAGGAAAAGCATTGATGGAAGGTAGAAGAAACTTCCAACCACTCATTGGTGTATGTACAAATGGTTTGGAAGAAGTTTCTGCATCAGTTTTCATGTTTATTGGAGCTTGTTTCAACATCTCCTGCACCATAGTATCTCGAGAGAAATAAGGTATTCTGATTCTTCTGCAAGAACCTGCAATGAGAAGACATACATCTTCATGCATCAGCACTCAGCAGAGATTGATGATAATGAAATATCATGTGCCTTAAAAAGGCATAATTGTGAGGTGGTGGGATGGGGTTGGGAGGTCCAAGGAGATGGGTAGTGGAATTTGAGTTGTCTGAAGAGTTAAATGACCATCAAAACAAAAATATAATGTGAGTTCGCACTTGAGAAAGTCGACTAATTTTTTCTGCAACTCCAATAATGTCTCCTGTTCAATGTCTGCACGCATCAATAACTCGGGCAACTTCACTGTGAACAAAAGAAAGTAAATTCAGAATGAACTTCACGATATAAAATTCATTGCAAGGAAAATTCATTAATCTTGGGAGCAGCATTAATCAAACATTCAATGAAATACCAGGAAGAAGCTGTAATAATTGCAACACACATGCATGCCACGTCTAGACATAGCAAAAGATTACAGGATAAACCCAGAACGGTTCGTTAAAGGCTAGTTTCGTTATTAGATAACAGTGTGTAATACTATATTGTGCTATGACTAGTGGATAGTTTGCTTGAATGGAACTATTAGTGGTTGATGTTATGTAAGAATTTTATGTATTAACAGCTTATCAAAAAAATGATGCATTCAATCCTGAAAATTTTGATAGAATTTAGTACATTCTCAAATGTCATCTGAAAATTGTTAAGACTCCGGAAGAACTGTCCTGGTTGCTTTCTAAGCTTCAACTCAAACTACAAAAGGATTATCAGAGTAAGGAAAGATCTCGATTAGCAAGTAAAATTCCTCCCTATATGTAACAATTACAGAGCATATGGGATACACATACCAAATAGACGCAATAGATGTTCGGCCCCATATAGTATGGATGGACAGATATCCTCTGTAATAGTATTCCGATATTGCTTACGCTCACTTTTGTACAAAAGTATCACAGCTAATGCTTTGTTGAAGTAAGCACGTATCCCTTTAAAAATTTCTCTAACTGAATCAAATACCCTACATGTATTACATTTTCATGCCAACTATTAGAAAACTACACATATCAAGCCAAGAATATAGAAATGGAAGGTTGGTAAAACAATTATCTATAAAACTTCGAAGGCATTAATTAGGATTGAAGATTCAAGCACTTCACTTACAACTGAAAGGCACCTAATGGATCAATAATTTTGAGAGGCAGAATTAAAGAACCTAAAATCAGAAGATAGCTCATTCCAAATACCAAACCTTAAAACCACCTTTTTATTTTCTCATTTCAATTCCTTTCCTACCTTCCAAGTGGATACTTCTGCAATTATTGTTCTTCCATTACAAGCTAAAAACTAGCAAACCTAGTATAAACTATGCATAAATGCAAAAAATTGTGCCAATAATCCTGATCCGTTGCTTTCCTTGCACCTTTCACAGCTTCAGCAATTCAAGGTACATTTTAAGTCATGGAGGTCTTTCGATCCATCAGGTCACTAACAGTTGTTTGACAATATGTAGTGCCAAGGAGTTAAACAAAGCAGGTTCTCCATCTAGCTGACCGCTACAGGAGCTGGCCATGCTCATATGAGATGAATGTTGCAGGTTATAGAATAACAATGAGACAAAAAGGGAGGGGACAACTTACATGTTATCCTTCTTATGTCGATAATCAAGATACATCTTCAATATGTCTTCCACATTTGGTGTACATGGAAGTACAATAAGCTGTAAAATAAGATGACAATCAATTCTGACCATCTATATTGACATTTGACAGGGAAGTCTTAAAATGAAACAAATGGAATACTGCATTCAAATTCAAATCTGAGGATATACTGACCTTTCCCAAATGAGTAATAAATTCACAATCGTTAATTAGTTGCTTCTTCAGAGTGAGTGGAATTTGGATGTTCACAAGCTTTTCTGAACTATCTGAAGGTACAGACTCCTTATCCTAACAGTTGAGAACAGTTAAGCAATCAATTAGACTAAATTGAACATGAAATCCACATAACAGAAGTTCAAAATCCATACTCTTTGCTTTTAAACCAAGGATGTCTTTAGCTGATTTACTAGAAATATATTTTCACAATGAATTCCAATAAACTAAATTTCTAACCAAATGAACCAATTGAAGAAGCATTGAAAATGCGAAGGCAATGATATCCAAAACCATGGGAATATCTTGCAAATAGCATCTTTCTTTTGCTTTCTGCCCCTACTACCTGCAAAGATAAACATATCTTAATTCTTGAACCCCAAAAAAGAGTGTAACAAAATAGTCCTTTTCATATTTTTTACAAACAATAAAACACCAAAATCAACCTTTGGGATTCCTCAGATACACACGAGCTCTTCCTCTCCTTGAAGTTCGAAATTCACCCTTCTTTTCTTCCTTCAGTTTCTTGAATGTTAAGTGCTACCTGTTTTTGCAGATTCTCTTTTGTAAATTTCATTAACCTATCCACACCTACCCATTCATCCCAGCTGTGAAAACCAAACATGGCATCAACAATCCAATTTTTTTTCTTCAAAATGTACATATAATTTCAAAGAGAAGTTACTTCTTTTTCCACCCCTATGAAACAGAGAAACAAATTAATAAATAAAGAATCAAGTTTCAATCAATTTTAGGTGAAAAAAAAAAAAGAGAAGAGAGATTAAATGGAATTTTTCAAGATAATGAACGAAATAATGCCAGCCGTTACTCCTTTTCTCGAATTTTAAAACCTGGCAAGTAAAACGATGAGAGAAGTGGTTTTAAAGGAGAATGGGAAGAAAAGAGCTTAAGATCTTCCTTTTATTTAGTTACTTTAGCCAATTATAAGAAGCAACAATGGTATACGAGGACTTTCTCGTCTTCTCTGAAAAGACAGGTATCGTATCGGTTACGGAATTCCTCATCAGTTTCGGTTGCGGAGTCGGTCTTGGTGGCGGTATCGTCAGATTCGGTGGCGGAATCGTCATCGGTCCAGGAGATGTTTGAACTTCCCATTAGGTAGCGGGAAGGGATTTCGGTTCGCGGGTTTCAGTTATGGGGTTTTATTTTATCGGTTAGCGAAATCTTGTTTTCCTCATGATCGGATTTCGCTGTGGAATATATAAGGCCGGTAAGGGATATGGCATAGTAGTAAATTCATTAGAACCCAGTCTATTTTCTTCTAAAGACATTTTTACTAGCTTTTCGTAACTTGTAGGCCATTCATATAAAGCCACGTGGCACATTGAAGTTACACATAGTTCGTTGTCCCAATTCTAAGTATGGGCTTTAAAGACCCAAAAGAATTTTTACCTTTGTTTTTTAATAAATGTGATGTAATTGTCCAAAACAAAGTTTGCTGCTAACTTCACACATAGTCTCTGAAAAAATAGGTGATCCCTCGTCTCGACCAATTGGGCACCTATCATCCCGAATACCAAGTCACCACCAGACCAATCTGTCCTTTGTTAGAACTCTGTCATGAAGAGCAAACTAGACAACCAACGAATATTTTGGAATGTGCAAAGGATATTGTAGTGATATCGGCCAACTCAGCCTTTCAGAACCTTCCCTTATCTCTTGTCATACTTAACAAAAAACTTGGCACCTCGAGTCCATTAACCCGTCACAGGATTGATGAACTTGGCAACCAACGACCTCTGTGTCTGCAATTTCCTCCAAAACCAGCTACAATTGATCATAACATCCATGGTCATAAATCGTCTCCCCTTCAACATGTAAGCTTCAACCCAATCATATACTAGAATGCAAACCAAATTTCAACTAATACATGCTCCTCGTCCACTAATAAGCCCCTGAATGTTTGATTGGTATACATATTAGTTTTAATTGATTAGACATAAGTTTTCTCGTGTCCGAAATTTATTCTGTTGTTAAAAAGTAGCATCCCCTAACGCATATTCAATAATATGTCCATTTTGAATAGAGGTGTTATAGTGGCTTCATTAATCAATTCCTTTGAGAAGTATTGAAAAAAAAAACATTTTATAAATCATGTTCTATGTATATGTGGGGTTGTTTGGAAAGTATGGTAACGATGGTGTAGAGTGTGGAAAGTGAATTTAGTGATCCCTTGGAATGTAAAACAGTTATTAGAGGTTTGGTTCACTCAACGAGTCAGGAAAAAATTTCGGTTTCTGTGGAAACTGGGTTTCTTTGGACTGATTTGGGTTATTTGCCGATGTAGAAATAAAATCAGATTCCGGAATTGTGTTCTCAGTGGAGGAAATTTTTACTAAAGTTTTAATTCAGGTGAGGATATGGGCGAGTCTCCTATGGTCGTCGTTAATTTCCTATGTGCAAGACTTTGTTAGGAGCCCGGAATCTTTCGTGATCATTTGAAGTTTAGGTAGTAGTGTGGTCTGAGTTCCCTGGTTGTCATATGTAAAGTTTGGCTTATGCAGAATCGGATTTTGTTCTGTTAGGTGCTATGGTATTGCTTTGGAATGTTTTGTTACTATCCTTGTATGCAGGTCTTAGTAGCGTGTATGGGCTGGGGTAGGGGTAATGTGGTTTGATTATTTACCATTTGATGCCCGTGTTTTTAGTGCTTGTGTATGTTGTATTGATTGTTATTGAATGTATCCTTGTACTACCTCAAGGTTCACTCTTTTTCCTCTAAATAGGTATAGAGAGGTTTTTTTAATGAGATCCTTAGGTAGTTTACTTTGTAATATCCGTTCAATACAAAGTACCCCATTTAAAAAAAAACATTTTATGCCGATTGATTCATTAAGCAAGGATGGACCGGGGACGGTGGGTGGTCGTCCCCTCTAAAATTTTCAAATTCTTATATATTTTAGATATTTTCTTTGTATATTGTATTAAATATCTGTTTTCACTCACTTAAAAATTTATAAATTTACTCGTAATATAAAATTTGGTGTTCGCCCCTGATTAAGGTAAATGCAATTGCAGCCGTATATTGATGGACAATTCCCGAATGACAATAAAGGGTTATCTGTGCACAGTTCAAGCTTGGTCCCATATAATTTGCAAAGTTTTCATGCAAGTTTCCACATGAAAGATTCAATTGGAAGATGTCATGCATTGCACAAGGCAAAATAGAGTACATAGCATAATAAAAAGGTAAAGGTTTATTTCATGAAAAAACTAATACTTGATTTAACAATAATTATCATACCTAAACTCTCAAAATGAATTACCACAGCAGCATTAATAGCTATAAAATTGAACAGAATAATTAAAGAACAACAAGTACTTAAGATTTTGTTATAGTAGAAAAGCTCTAAGATGTTAGACCGATTGTAGGCTATCCCGCTATTCATAAGACGCTAAGCTTAATGTCCACCGCCACTGGAACTTGGACCTGATTTGGTGACGGCGTCAACGAATGCATTACCTTGTCCTCCGGAGCTTGGACCTGAATTGGTGACAGCATCAACGAATGCATTACCTTGTCTTCCGGAGCTTGGACCCGAGTTGGTGACAGCGTCAACGAATGCATGGCCTTTTCCGCCGGAACTTGGACCTGAGTTGGTGACAGCATCAACGAATGCATTACCTTGTCCTCCGGAGCTTGGACCCGAGTTGGTGACTGCAACAACGAGTGCATGGCCTTGTCCTCTGGAACTGGAAACCGAGTTGTTGACAGCATCAACGAATGCATGGCCTTTTCCACCGGAACTTGGACCTGAGTTGGTGACAGCATCAACGAATGCATGGCCTTTTCCACCGGAACTTGGACCTGAGTTGGTGAAAGCATCAACGAATGCATGGCCTTTTCCGCCGGAGCTTGGACCCGAGTTGGTGACCACATCAACGAATGCATTACCATGTCCTCTGGAAGTTGGGCCTGAGTTGGTGACAGAGTCAACGAATGCATGGCCTTTTCCACTGGAACTTGGACCACCGGTCTTGATTCCTTCAATGGCAAGGTTCAAATCATCCAACAAAACCTTCCCTTTGGACATAGAGCTGCCTGAGCCAGGCACTGCATCATTGAGAGGACGAGCCCCGGAGGAGAAAATAAATGAAGCAAGAAGAAGGGAAACAAAGGTGAAAGACCTGGCCATTAAGAACTTGTGATGATTTGATAGGTTGGGTAGGCTTGGAATTTGTTTTAGTAGCTAAGAGAGGTAAAAAAATGGTCGCTGATTGCCAAATTCTGTGTAATTTGCTTGAAACAAAAGAGTTGCATGCAGATGCCTATATATACTAATCCATCCATGCAGCGTCAAAACAGTAGCTTGTAAGCTGATATCAGTTCGTTCGTCAGAGCTTCAGATCTTAGTTTGACCGAACTAAAACAAGGGGCGTGGCCCATTTAGGACACGTGACAGATTTCAAGGGGATAACTAGCCACCAACCTACCTTTTGATTAAGCGAGGAATGAGGTCATAAGCCAATCAAAATTACAAAAAAGTTAATGAATAGGAAGTTTGATATCGTTGCTACTTATGTCACCTGTCATCATCACACTTGCCTGGAAAATGCATGTGTTTGAATCAAAATCAAAATTAGTAGTAAAACAAGACTTTTTTCCTTTCTTTCATTCTGCCAATGGCTTTTCCAGAATTACTGAATTATCCCCAGCCCGTTAAAAAAATGAATTGAAAATCAACAGTGGAATCCATGTCATAATTCACGTACCGGAACTTTCTAATCGGAACTCAGCACGAATGTTTTTGGTGATGCAAGCTGACATAATACGAATTCAAATTTATTTGGCATGGACAAGGTCGCTCTTGTCTCTGTTTCTGTCGCAAAATTTTAGAAATGACGAAGCAGAGTCAATAAGGACGGGCATATAGACTCCCAGCCAACTGGATGCTTACTTCTCAGCGATCAATTGAAACTCGGAAGATCATAATTGAACTCAGTCTGAGTCATGAACCCTACAAGTAAGAGCAGTTAGCATATGGCTAACAACAACTAACCACCCGGTTGACCATGAGAACTTGAAAATTACAGAATTCAGACAAGTGAATTCATGTTGTAGGTTAAATCTTCAAAGTTAGGTTATCTATTACTGCTTCATGTTAGTGTTAAACTGTCTTTCTCACAGTAGTGCAGTATTGGTATTTGAAAGTTCATGTGGTCAAGCATTCCGCCATTGTTGAAGCAATATCATAACTGGAAACTAGATTTTCAAAAGCCAAAGCATCAGTCTAAATTGTGATAATTAAGCACGTTTATCCTGTGTTTACTGAAAAAGGAAGGTTTGCTTTAATGGTTAGAAACCATAACAAAACTAAATTGAAGTGGGTTTGGACTTGTATGAAACATTCTCTTCACTATTGAATTTGTTAATATTTTAAACTCAACATTTAATAATTAAAACAAGAGAATAAATATGAAAAAAATTGACATAATATAAACAAATACTGATATCAAAATCTATATAAAACAATTTATTAAAGATTATATGAATATATATTAGGTTAAAAAATTATGACAAATATCAACACAAAACACGAGATACGAAATGAGGTTTATTTTGATATTTCTTTTATAATAACATAATAGTATGACATACACCATAAAATAGTTAAAATGTGATATGATAAAAAAAATGAATATGCCACTTGTAACTTTTTTAATGAAAAGAAGGCATAAGCCATTGCATCAAGAAGAAACTATTTGGTCATGGGACCATGGCCATTACATCAAGAAAAAGTTATTCGGCCATGGGGGACCATGGACATTTATAGAGAGGAAAAATTATTAGATGGTCCAGGCCTACCACATCATTCGTGACCTCAACCATTAATATTTTTTCATTCTATTTTTTTAAGGTGGATCTTTACCTAAATCCTACGTGTAAATAAAGAACAAGCAGTTATTTGGAAATTATTTTAAAATTTGTGGCTCTCGTTCACTGAGACTAAAGATAATGTGGTGAGTCGGACCATAAAATAATCTCTCCTATAGAGAGTGTTTTGTAAGTAATCCGGCGCAACATTATAATTGAAGAGGGCATCCGAAGAGGAAGAAGAGGCCTTAGCGAGTCTGTCAGCAGCTTCGTTTGCCTCACATCGGATGAGAATAACATCAACCAACCAAACTTTGTTATGAACAAATACTAATATCAAAATCTATAAATAGCTCGAATGAGGCAAAAAGCCTGCTTGAATCTTAAGAGGATAACAGCTTGTGAACATCGACATTGTCAGTTTGGATCGTGATTTTATCAAACCATTGTACCAAGCAAGTTCTAGACCTTCATAAACAGTAAACGTCCCAAAGTTCATCCTGAAGAACAAATGTGAGTCTAAGTTGCCTGTTCTATCCCTGGATGAAGCTTCCGTTGTGGTCTCGGAAAATACCACCAGCTGCGCCAAAGTTGCTGAAAGGAGAGACAGCACCATCGGTGTTCAGGCCAATCCAACGTTGCCATTGTATGAGCTCCATTCTTGCAGTCCTTTTCGACAGAATCGGCTTGGTGTTAAAGTGGAAACAACTTGCCTCGGTAGTGCACATTTTGAGAAGGAGGTAATTTGAGATGGAGTCATGACAGAAAATAAAAGAATTACGACGCTTCCATATTTTCCAAATAGCTGAAGCAAAGAGGATATTCCAGGGGGTGTCATGAAGGGGGCTGACCTGGTTTTGATTTATATTGTAGGTGATCCAATCGCAAAGCAAAAGATCATTTGCATGACCATGCAGTTGATGGAGGAAGGATGCCCAGAATTTAGAAGTGACCGAGCAATCGCGAAGGATATGAAGCGCCGTTTCAAAAGGAATCCACACATCGGACAGGAGGGGTCATGGGATAGACCCCGATTGTATCTCATATCGTTTGTTAATAGCTTGTTATGAATAGCGAGTCAAATAAAGCATTGTATTCATCCCGGGACAGCAAGCTTCCATATTAAGGACCATTTGGGTGGCTTTGATTCCAACGATCCTTTGCTATCTCTTTACAGGCAATTTTGACGGAAAAATTCCTGTTTTGATGGAACTTGGTGAACTGCAAGCCAGCTATGGAAATGAGGGAGAGCAGCAGGCTGTAATAAGTGGTGAAGAAGAGGCCAATTCCAATCCCTATTTTTCTAAAGCTGCATTTTGAACTAAGAAGTCTTCATCAATGTGTAAGTTGGGTAATTTTGGAGACCCAAATTGAAAGTTTAGAAATTTTGGATGTGGATTGGAAATTATGTAAAGTTGATGGGTGTTATGTGAAATAAAATTCTGAAAATTTATATTAGAATGCTAATATTAAGTTTAAAGGTGATTTGGATCAAGTTTCAAGTTTCCTAAAGTTTTAGGATTAAATTATGAATAAGAAAAATTATGGGTTTTATTCGACAATTATGCAAGTTTGGAAGAATTGGAGAAATTTAAATATTGAAGGACTTAGAGTGTGATATTTAGATTATTTAAGTGAGTAGTTATGTTTAATATCGAACAAGCATAGACTAAATTTTTACAATTTAAGCTACTACATTTTGCTTATGTTATTATATTACTAACATGTGCTTTGAAATGTTTGTGTGTTGTAAATTTTATATTGTTTAAATACTCAACGCAAGCGTGACTGAAGCGAATCCAAGGTTAAGGAAAAAGTAATTGAGTAAGGATATCGAAGTAAGGGTTAGTTAGCGATGCATTAAGGTGAGTGCATTCTTAATTATTTTAATGTTTTGAAATGAATCGAATATGATTTTATTATAATGTGTTTATTTTATAATATTTTTTGAAATGGTTTAAGAATGATTCGGGTATAACTGCCCAATCGCTCTGAATTATGTTATGGATATTTGTGAATTAAAATTTATATTGGTTTTGATTACAAAACCCTTTGTATGTGCATTGAGAGTTAGTGGTACGATTGTCATACCATGAGATTGAGTGATTCAGTATTTTTGTACTATGAGTGCATTATGGTACCTTCATGTACATCTATCTTGCACTATTTTTGCATTATGGTACTAAGGGTGCTGTAACATCCTCAATACCGGGTTAGTGACCAAATTATAAAGTTTCAGAAATTGGTGATTAAAGTAGGATAATTGAATAGTGCAATGATTTATTGGAAATATGATGAAGGTTATTCAGTAATTATTAGGAAATAAAGGGTAAATTGGTCATTTGACCAGAAAGATTTTTATCTTTCTTTTAAGGGTTATAAAACACGTGGGATATGAGATAATTATCCAGAGTCTTCTTCTCCAGCTTTTTCTTCTCCCCGTAAGCCTTATTTAAAGGTGAGTTTAATTTAAGCTGTTTAATTCTTGGATTTATAAGTTGATTTTGATTCTTGGAGTATTATATAAGCTTAAGGAAAGCTTATATAAGCTTAAAACATCAAGAAGAGAGAATGAGAAAGGAATTTCTATTAAAAGATTAGAAATGAACTTTTGATATAGAAAGGTTTTTGAAATTCTAAGGATGAATTTGACTTGTCAATGGTTAAATTAAGAGATTTGGAGTGATAGAATTGGATTTAGAACATATAGAAAATTTGGTATGATTCTTGAATCTCATAAAGAAGATAGGATTTTGAGGTTAAAGATGATTTGCATGGATATAAGTTGGTTCAAGTTATAGTAGTTGAGTTTAATGTCAAAATAGGGGCTTAAAATAGAAGAATTAAGGGAAGAGTTGATGATTTACGTGCTAAAATGTCAGTTCTGGGCAATGTGCATCGATGCACATTCATTGTGCACCGATGCATCGATGATAAATACCAGAAATTGTTTAAGGTGCATCGATGCACATGCAGTGCATCGATGCATGAATTTAAATAGAAAACATCGAATAGGATTTATGCATCGATGCATAAGGAGTGCATCGATGCATCCCCATTAAATACAAACATCGAATATGATTTATGCATCGATGCATGGTGTAGTGCATCGATGCATACCTTCATTAAAAGATGAAATTGGCTTTTCTTTGAGACTAAGGAGTGATAGTTTCGAATATATCAATCAGTATACTGATAAGTATTAATGTATTATTATGTAGATATAGAATGAAAGCTTGTTCCGGAACAAACTAAGGATTAGGATTGATTCAAACAACGAGGCCCAGGTGAGTGCATATTCAATAGTATATGATGTGCGATGGGAATAAGACTTGCGATGAGTCTATTTCCTGAAGTGTTACACATGAATGCATGATTAAAGGCATGAATTGAATATGCATGTATGTATGCTTGATTATATGGATTGATCTGTTCTTTTATGTGTTAAGTGAGAAAGTATAAGTAATTACATAAGAAAGGTTATGAATTATATGAGATATAAACTATGTGATCATAGTAAAATATAATTATTATTATATGATAAGTGAAATAAGCTGGATAATATTGATCTATAGGATGAAGTGAGAATAGTACACTAACTAGGAGATTTGAACATAAATGATAAGATGAACATATAAGATAAGCTAGATGGGAAAGATTCATATGTTTAAATAAAACTATAACACATGAGTTGTATGATAGAAATTTATGAAGTTATATGAGAAGATTATATGAGTTATATGAAATTGAATTAAGTAAACAAATTAGATTATATATATATATATATATATAAAGAAATAATAGAAGTGAGATGTGTTTATAAGTCTGCCCTAGATGAATATGAATATGAATTATAAGAGTGCTATATGATTTATATTAGGATAAATCTTGAGAATATATATTTATATAGATGGATATGAAATGAAATGAGTTATATGAATACATAATTATGTGATGAAATGGTGGATTACCTGAACATGTGAATATATATATATGTCTAAGAGAAGGCATAAGATTAAGATATAAGCAATGTGACTATAAGTATATATGTGCTCTAAGTGATATGACTTATAGGTATTTCTATTATAATGTTACATAATATGTTATGTATGTTAAATGAATTA